CAAACTATACTTTTATCCTAGAACATGTAATGAAGCATAATCTGCCTGTTTCTGGCCTTTCATTTCCTATCCCACAGCCAACAGGTAGACCCAAAGTGGTAAATTTTCAGGCTAATGCGAGGTTTGACTCCTCATAGTGCAATCGCCTTTTCTTGACTATCCTTTGTCCCGCATGATCCTCTACTTGGTCGTGTTTCTTCCTGTACAAACATCTTCTCTTTAATGTTTTCACTTAACCTAAAAATCTTCCTAGGCCGTATGCTAAATTATCGCCAACTCTTTCCTCTCCTAATCTCCTGTTCATCCGGTTTCTTTAAAAGAGCATGTCCATAACCTCTCTAATCTTCCGTTTTCTGGTATTCTCCTCATATGAGGTCAATCATCCAGTTGAACTCCGTTGATCCTTGTGCTGATTGTCTTTCTCGTAGAGCTAAACCGTTCTGCAAATTGTACGAGGTGCCAAATAAAGAAAAAGGGCTATCAAAAATTACAGCTATGTAACGCTAATATGTCAAGGCGCCAGTTTTTGTCGGACGGTCAAAGGAAAAAATTCCTATGCACGAATAACATCGTACTGACCCACATTAACAACTTTTTATGCTCACTTGTATATAGATTATAATTTTGAAATATACTTGATAGACTGTTAGTGATAACACCAGCAGGAAAGCCACAATCTAGTAAAATAGCCAAATAAAGTAGAATCAATAAAAATTCTAATGCTAGAACGTTCATCAGCATTATTATACCTGGACAACTATTAATATAAGCAACCTACCCATGATAAAAATGACCACAAAGTGATAATTAAAACGTCATAAATTCGGGATAATACTTACTTCTCATTGTCGAGGTGTTAGAACTCCCAAGCCCTCCTCCAGACCCAATAGCTCCGCTAGAAGCCATGCTAGTGGAAATTCCGGTTCCCGAGCTGGCCTTCCCAACCCCAGCAATCACATTAATAGTATTTCCATTCGACCCACTAATGAGGCCTCCAACACAACCAGATGTGCCGGATGCGACAGTATGAGCTGTGGAGAATGTGGTAGAAGCGACTGCAGAGTTAAAAGAGGGTGTTGTAAAGAGACCAGATGAAAATGAGCCCCAGGTAGAAGCAGCGGTAGTCATGCCTGCTGAGGAGTTGGTAGGGCTAGTGCATAAAGAAATCGAAGTGACTGTTGCCGGCATGTTAGACGAGGCGTCTCTGGTTGACTCTTTGTTAGTGTGCTGTATACCCAAGGAGCTGACATAATCTGTGCAGATCGAGGAGCCAGCTGGAAACGAGGCTACGGATGCTATCTCCGGGCCATCTAATGCCCCAAATGAAGAAAATACAAAGATAAATTCATTCAGTTACAGCCTATATAGTAAAGGTAAAATATTTTAAATCTAAAAAGTGGGACAAGCGCGGTAGATGCTAAGTGGATAAACGCTGTGGGTCAAATGAAATGTAAAACGTAATCGCTAGGTGACACTCCAAAGAGAGACGGTTCGGAAAAGCATTACAAATCACAGTTGTGAAAATCTTTTTTAGATAAATTTAACTAAACGCCTTAATAGCAATAAGGAATTAAATGCGTTCTTAAACAAGTCCCAGTATCAAAGTTATCATCAGTGGCACGAATAAGGAAAAAGGCATTATAAATTTTAAAACATCAACTTAAGCTAATAAAATTCTAGACATTAGAATAAAAGAAGCCATAAATTTATGGAAGTTGCTTTGTAAGTTCAGCTATTTACTAGTAGAGCTTTGTCTAAACGCAAGGCCCAAATATGTCATGAAAAGTTTTGCTTATAAAAAATGTCTCAATTCATACCAATTAATCAGATGTCGAAAACGATTTGAATTATAACCTCATTTATATACAGGCCAATCCTAGATTTAGTAGCATTAAGTAATAAGATAATTATAATGATCTCAAGGGTCAAGTAAGAAAAACTGGATTTAAAGGATGCACGAATTTAAAGCG